GGCGCCCGCTGCGCGCGCTCCCCGTGCAAATTGCGCCGTATCCTTTTGCGTCAGGCGCGGCGTTGCGGCGCCGTGGCATCGCCGCCGCCGGCCGCCTGAGGGGTTTTTTGAGGGGCTTTGCCGGTGCCTGCAGGTACTCTGTAGCTGGCTACACCGAGCACATGGATGAGCGGGGGGAGGTGAAGGATCCGCCGCCGTTTGAAAAGGTGGCAGAGGACTGGGGCGAGATTGGTGAGCAGCGTTGAGCAGGCTGGAGGGTCGGCAGGGGAGCGCGCCTGCTGCGGCGGGGTGGCGGCCTGCGCGGCTGGGCTGTGTGGGCGGACGCTCGGGCCGCAGCCGCCTACCTGGGCCGCCTGGGCGCTCTGGCAGCGCGCCTCCTGCATGCAGCGGCCGCTGGCGGGGAGGATAGGCATAGCTGCTTCCTTTCTTACTTCTTCCTGTGCCGTGCCTGTGTCGCCGAACCGACTGGCGGCTGCCCATCCTTGAGCCTGGCTCCTAGCTGTTGGCTCCTTAGCTGCCCGCCCGCCTGCCTGCCGGCCTGCCTGCCTGACCTGCTTGCCTGCCTGTCCCGCCTGCAGTGGAGCTGGTGAGGGGCATCCTGGATGCTGCGCGGCAGGGCGAGGCCGACGGGGCGGCGGCGTCGTGCGGCGGCGGCGGCGGCGCGGCCCGGGAGGCGCGGCCCTCAGAGGTTCAGGAGCTGCGCAGCGGCGGCTCGGGCGGCAGCGTGGGCAACGCCGGCGGCGGCGGCAGCCAGCAGCAGCGGGGGCAGGAGGGCGCGGAGGAGCAGCCGCAGCAGAGCGGCGGCTCCTCCAGGGGCGGACCCTCCGCCGGCGGCAGCAGCCAGCAGCAGCAGCAGGAGGCGGCGGGCGCGGGGCGGGCCCCCGAGCGCCGCTTCTCCTTTGACGCTCCTGAGATGCGGCAGCCGCACCCGGCGGTGGTGACCGCGGAGCGCTCAGGCTCAGTCACAAGCGGCGCCCTGCCGGAGCCCTGCAGCGGCACGGGACCCAGCGCCAGCGCAGCATGCGGCAGCGCCGCCGCCGCCGGCAGCTCCGCCTCTGGCCACCGCAGCCAAGCGACGCAGATACCGGCGGTGAGCCGGGTGCCGGGCTTGGGGCGGGGTGGGGGCGAGCGGGGTTGGCGGCGTCGAGGCGTGTCGCCGCGGCGTGCCTGCTTGCTCTGGCTGAGCAGCCCGCCGCGTCGGCCTGCCGTCCTGGCATGCCGGCACGCCTGTGGCTGCCCGCACGCCATGAGCTGCTGCTGCTTGCTTGCCTGTGTACACACGTTGGCCTGCCGCCACCCTTTCCTCCCTCGCTCCCGCCCGCAGCACGTCAAGCCTGAGTGGGTGCCCATCGCTGAGGAGGCTCCGGATGAGGTGCTGGAGGTGCGGCAGCTGCCGCTCGCTGCCTGAGGCGCGCCCGCTCCCCTCCCCCGAGGATTCAGGGCGCGCCTATACTGCTGTGGTCCGCTATATTCATGAAAGAAGAAAGGGCAGCAGGCTGGACTGTGGGCGTGCACGCGTGTACATGCCGCCGGGCGGCACGCCTGACCCGTCCCGCCTCGTCCCGCCCCATCCCCTGCTGGTGGCCCACGCACCCACCCACACACCCACACACACATGCACATAAGCCCCCCCACACACGCGTGCCTCGCAGGTGGCCAACGCCAAGGACGACCCCATTGCCCGCTTCGTGCTGGCACGCATCCTCAGCCAGACGGCGGCGCACTCGCACCTGCGGTGGGACACGCTGGTGGACGGTGAGCACGCCTGCCTGCCTGCCTGCCTGCCGCAGCTGCCTGTCGGTGTTGCCAGCTGCCTGCCTGCCTGCCTGCCTGCCGGTGGTGGTGGTGGTGGTGGTGGTGAGGCGCCGATGCCGCACTATGCGGCTTCCCTGCCCTGCCCAGCTGGCATGTGTCCCCTTCACCTTCCTCTGTCCCCTCACCTCCCTCGCCGCGCCCCTGCCAACCTGCAGGCGCGGCGGTACAGGACGGCCCCCACCTGTACCGCTTCACCGGCCAGCAGCTGCGGTCGCTGGCCAGCCTGATGCGGAGGGTAGGCCTCATGCTGTGGCAGCAGGCCCTGCTCTTCCCGCAGCACATCTCCAAGCTGGGCACGCTGAGGCTGGACGAGCCGGGCAAGCTGCGGGTGGAGGAGGTGGGCGCTGGCAAGGGCGGCATGCTGCCTGTGGTGAAGCGGGGGCCTCGCGACCTGCTGCCTGTGTTGTGCGCTTTTGAATGTGTGTGTGCGTGCGTGCGCGCGTGCGCATGTGTGTTGTGTGTGTGTTTATGTGTGTTGCAGGGTAGGGAGGGGCGGGAGGGTGGCAGGCGTGGGGCTGCTGACCGCACGCCGCGGCGCGTTCAAGCTCCTGCGCTGCGCTGCGGACCCTCCCTGCCCGGCCCCATGCCGCCATGCCCCCTGCCCGCCCGCGCCACTCTGCCTGCCTTGCAGCAAGACCCGGAGCACTGGCGCGCCATCCTGCGCCGCCTGCACTGCCGCCCCGAGCAGCTGCGCAAGATCGTGGCGGGACACCAGCGGTACCTGGATCGCATGCGCCCCGTCATTGAGGAGCGCCAGGGTGGGCCCGCGCGGCGCCTTTTGTTTCCATGCCTGCCGCTGGCTGGCCAGGGGCCGCTGGGTGTGTGCCACGCGGCGGGCTGGCAGCACATGCCGGCTTGCACGGCCGAAGCCGCGGCGGCCGGGGAGGCCGCTCCGACCGGCCGCCCGCCTGCGCGCTGCCTGCCCGGCTGTGGCTGCACTGCCGGCAGGCCTTTGCCTCGGCGGCATCGTATCGGGCGGAGGCTGGGCGGCGCGCGATGCACCTGCTGCGTCGCCGCCTGGCCGAGAATAGGTTGCAGGACCCCCTGCTCAGCATGCGTGCGTTCAAGTCTTACGTCCTGCCGACGTTGTCGTACGGGGCAGAGATCTGGGCGCCGCAGCTGATTCTGCAGGGCAGGACGGCATGCGAGCGGGTACAGCTGGAGTACCTGCGAGGGCTGCTGGGTGTGCGGGACAGCACCCCAGCCCTCATTGTGCTGGCAGAGACGGGGCAGCTGCCGCTGCCCGCCTACTGGACCTTGCAGGTTGCACGCTTTGTGAGCAACCTGCAGGCTATGGGCGGCGAGCGGGTCGCCCGTCTTGCCATGCTGGATAGCGTTGCGCTGGCTGCCGACACGGACACAGGGCTGCCACTGGCCCGGCAGCCCTGGGCAGCGCAGGTTAGCCGCGTTCTCGCGGCGGCCGGCGCCCCCTGCGACTTGACTGCTGACGAGGGGGTTGCCATACCTGAATTGGCGGAAGCGCTCCTGGAGCGCCATGTTGCCTCGTACACGCATGCATCCGTGAAGGTGCAGCGGTACATTGAGGACGTGTGGGGGGGCAGCATCTCTGCGGAGGCCTACACGCCTGCGTCGTTCCTGTGCGATGTGCCCGAGCGCCGGCGCCGGGTGCGCCTGGCGCAGTGG